AATTTAGAAGTCTCCGAAATCCCTTTTCGGTCTGTTATCTGATAGATTGCCGATACTGATAATTTGGCCCCGTTTGACCAACCGGTCAACCCTATGCCATTGTCATGGCTCAACTAGGATATCCACCACCATATACATATTATCTAGTCCAAGATCAATATAATATGTGGCCCCGATAATATCGGGCGGTCCCCACTCCCGATGTGGGCCCCACGTGCATTTTACTATTCACGCGTAAAAATATAATACAAATTCACAACTTCGTAAATTCACTAAAAACTTCATAAGGTTCAATATATTATTCGCTTAAAGGTAAATAAATTTGGGGACGGTGTTACACACAACCCCTCATTTGGATCCCAAAGATCATAGGAGAGGAGAGAGCCACACAACTCAAGAGGGAGTGGAAAGAGCAAACTGCCTGCAAGGTTATTTCCCAGTGCGTAGAGTTGCTTGTTTGATTCACATCTCTAGATACACGCGTCCAAATAAGTCGTGTGAGGTGTCTACAGAAAGCTCTCAAGATAAGGAATCCGCAGAGGTGCGGTTTGCAGCAAACGGAGTAGTGGAAGGCTTCCAAATCAGCGAAAGAAAACGCTACCTCGCTGGAACTATTTAAACGGATTCACTTCTTTAAAGTGAGTTGGAACCCAAAACCCTCCTTTTTCATTTTTTAAATGATATGAACGATTGATGGAACTATTTTACACTATTTCAAGTGTATAATATGTTATTTATAGAGTTACTTTGTTGAAGTAAATGTTAGATACTAACCTATAACAAACCTTGAACGATTACGAAACGAATCCGCCGAAAAACATCCTTTCTAAAGATTGTTTTCATATCTTTGACTACAGGTTGAGCTAGCACCTTGAAGAGGCTGCCTAGCACTCATTTCCAATCAAGGAGTCAGTTATCAACTTACCTTGGACAAGGATTTGAGCATTGGATCAAGAAGGAAAGGCTTAAAGCTCATTTGAGATGAGGATCGACACCTAGTTGCTTACAACTTGTAGGTTAAGCATGAGATTACCTAAATGTCTAAATTATGTTTTCACGGATAATGATGCTTAATCATTTATGAAATATTGATATATTTGACATGGAAGGAAATCAGAAATGATTTGAATGTCATATTGACAAAATGGAATTAAATGGGCTATTAATGAACTATTATGAAAAATAGACATTTTTGCTCATGTATGAAATGTGTAGATACATAAATGAATATTTATGTACTAAATTGGATGCTTAAGTTGATGCTACATAAATCTAAATATGTAGGGACTTACAAATGGAATAGCTTATTTGATAGGAATAATCTTAATAGTATTGAAATACTAGTTAATGATTATTTGTAATTGTTAAAGGATTGATTCTAAGGGTTTGATTGTAAGTGATGCACTTGAATGTGATTTAAGTGACTAAATTGATTTAGTATGAAGCTAAGATCATGTTATGGGCAGTCCTTCGGGATGTTCCAAAATAGATTATTGATATCTCAATTCTAGGCATAGGCTTGCTTAGGAATTGAGTCTATGTCATGACACAGTGATGTACTTGAGTAGGACTCTAGAAGTGCATGAGTAGACAAAGAGTTGTGATTGATGACATGCATGGTGATGTACTTGAGTTAAACCCTAGAAATGCATGGTGAGATTGAAGGTTGTAACCTATGATGGACATGTTGATGTACTTGAGTAGAACTCTAGAAATGCATAGTGAAGTAATTGACTTGTGTCATATGATTTGCATGGTGGTGTACTTGAGTCGGACTCTAGAAATGCAAACATATGTGTTAGAGTTGGACCCTATGAATTGTTGTGACTTGTAGTCACGGGATATTGGGGTGGCGATTTGTAAACAAACATGGGCTCAAGGGTCGACTACTTGACTTTATATAAAGTAAGTATATTTTAAAAAGAGGTAACTTGAGATTACAGCCTAGATTATACCATCACTCTCTTTGGAGGTCTTGTGTTTGAAATACTTGTTGTATATCTATTAGATGTCATCCATACCAGTACTTTATAGCCTTATGGAGTACTGACCCCTTCGGGGGTGTCCCACTACCATTTCAGATTGAGGCTTGAGCGTTGAGCTTGCTACTTGTGCCCATTCTTTGGGTGATCATCTTGGAGAGAAGATTTGGTTCGTGCTTCCTCCATTCTGATTTTGAACATTAATAAACATGTTCATGGATATTTTACTTTAGAGCCTGCGTGCTCATGTTTGCCTCGTGCGGCATTTGTTTTCAAACTATGTTTTCCGCTGCGTATTGAATTGCTTATTATGTATCTTTATGGATGACTTATGTGTGAATGATATTAGAGACGCCTTGTATAATATGGATGTGTTGACTGTGGTTGACTATTCGTATTATACGGCGGGTTGTTGACGTGTCCGGGTAGGTCCGGGACGTGACAAGTAGTAAACTTCTTATCATACCAAATTAAAATATTCTTTTCAAAATTTTACTTATGTAATATTAGGCAATATGAAAGATTATTAATACTATTTAGTTTGAGATAATTTTTATAAAGATAAGTGCACAAATGCAAAAGTTATGCCAATTTACAATTTTTTTTTGCCACATGTCACCAAATTATTGGGGGTTGAGTCAAGCTTGGAATTGATTAAAATTTGATAGAAGGGTCATAGGGTTGGACTCGGGTCCGGGTCGGGCCTAGGCCCGGGCGGGCCGGCGGGTCAGAAATGGTGGACCCGGGACCGGCCCGGGTAACCACCGGGTCCGGTCCGGGTCCGGGCCGGGCCGGGCCAAGCCCATTATATATATATATATATTTTTGTTTTCCTCTTCCTAATTAACCCCCCACCCCCAACCCCCCAAACCACCCCAAATGGCCCAAAATACTCAGCCCAACCCGAAAAGTTAAAAAAAAATTGAAAAAACAAAAAAAAAAAAATTGGCCCGAACCGGGCCCGGGCCCGGCCGGGCCTTGTTTTGGGTGACCCGAGCCCGGACCGGAAAACCCACGGGCCGGGCCTACCCGGACCGGTCACTGACCGGGCCACCGGGTCGGGTCGGGCCGGGCCGGAACAGTGCCGGTCCCGGGCCGGTTCCGGGTCGGGCCACCCGGCCCGAGTCCATCCCTAGAAGGGCATTTGTCATTTTGTCCGTTCGTATGAGAACTGAGAAGCTTCTATCAACCAACATTTTTATTTTAAACTCGATTAATTAAAGAATTGAAAAGGTTACAGTAAGCAATATTAACTGTGCGCGTAGCAACTAGGGATGAACTCGGGCCGGGTTAACCGAACCGGAACCGGCCCGAACCAACACTGTTCCGGCCCAGACCAGCCCAGTCCACGGTTCTATGACCGGTTCGGGCCACCCGGCCCGGCACAGTAGAGGGGCGGTTCTCGGGCCTTGCATTTGATGAATCGGCCCGGTTGGTTCGGGCCAATTTTTTTTGTTTTTCACATTTTTTAAAAGGTAAATGAGTTGGACTGAGTGGTTTGGAGGGATTTGGGGTGTGAGGGTAGGAAGTAATTAGAAAAAAATAGGGAGAACCGGCTCAGCCCGGTAAGCGTCGGGTGAACTGGCCCGACCCGGGCCCGAGACTACCCGGACCGGTTTCCAAGCCTCACTTTCCAAAAAAAGCCCGGTCAGACCGACCCGAGGCCCGGCCCGCCCCGAACCAAGGCCATGCCTAGCAGCAACCCCTTTCTGATGCACTCTGTGAGCACAATATGGGAACCAAAAATTAATTAACTAATTAATTAATAGATAAAATGACAGATTTTTTAGGACTGAAAAATGTAAAGATGACAAAATTATATATGGAACGAAGAAAATATTTTAATTTAGGGTAAATTTCTTAAATAAGAGTAAACAAGTTTTGAAATTCCAAAATAGGACTATAATGTTTTTTATTCTATAAATAGAAGTAAATTTCTGCCAAATTTGACATTACTAGACTTCTAAACATGGTATTTTTTCCAAACTTGGCAGATTAATCTTATTCAAAGAATAAAAAACATGATACTCCTATTTTTGGAATTTCAAAACGTTTTTACTCCTATTTAGAGTAATTTCTATTTAATTTACGGCATGAATAACAAGTGACGAATAAAATAGGGCATAAATGTAGTGTTACAGAACACGCTTATTTAAAACAATCATGTGTCAAAAATATTATGACTAATTTTTTGTAAGGATGCTGATTTTACACATGGATTTGGAGTTTAAAGCACCTCCGTGTGATACATAAATTCGACGTATTAGCCACCTGTGATTTAAGTGTCAAACCCCTCATGTTATAATTATTAAAGCGCAAAAATCCCTCTTAGAGAATTTAATTGTCAAATAAATGAAAAATGGTTAATATTTTTATATAATTTAGAGATTTCGACGAATTTAATATCATATTTAAACATAATAATAAGATAAGTGACTTTCAAATTGTTAAATTTATTCTTGAAGGGGATTTAGTGCATGATTAATTATAATACATAGAAGTTTGACACATTTCTCAAATCGCAGAAGAATGTGTCAAATTGATATGGTTGCTATTGTCAAACAACCGCATTAACAGTACATTTGGTAAGTGCGCATGACAGTTTCCAGAAGGCCGCCCAATCCTTGCCAAAATTCTGAGAAGACAAGGTCTGACCCGGTTAGTTCAGTCCTGTTGAGTACGCAGTCAGTTCAGTCCTGATTCCACACCCGGGTCCCTCTTTTTTGTTTTGCCCAGTTCCAAGGGTTTAGGATTTAGATCCGTTCACAACGCAAACCTCCCCAAAAAAATGGTTTGTCAGGACTTGGGACTGAAACCAGGACCGAGACCGCCTGGTCTTTGCCTGGAACAAGAAAACGGACCCTGTCCAGAAAAACGGAACCGGTTCCAGGCCGGTCCATGCCTAGATGGGGAAAGGAAATTGTTAATGAGGAATAAATTGAGGTACTAAAGTCTGCTTGGCCAACTAGTTACCATACACACCCTATCACTAAATCCCCAAAGACTTGCAAGCAAGTATATAAAAACAACACTTTAAGGAAATTTCCCAAACACCAATTAAAAACAATTGCTGATTGGGAAGTAAAGTTACAGATAAGTCAATCAAAGGTCTATTAGGGCTTCACAAGTCAATCAAGTCAATTCTTAGAGAGGGAGTGTTTACTTCACAAATGGGACTCCAGAAGGAACTCTTCTGGCATAATCTACATATTGAGCACCAAAAAACTGCCTCAAGAAATACTCCTCATAAGGTATCCTTTCATAGAAGAAGCGCCAAACAACTACAGCGTACGCAACAGTTGAAACTGGATTGCAAAGCATTATTTGGGTACCAACAGACCAAATAAAGAAACCACAATAACTCGGGTGACGCATATACTTATATAGTCCATGCGTAATGAGCTTATGATGTTCCTCATGACGCACTTTGATTAAATGAGTAAAGGATCGACCAGCGGTTATAATTGCTAGCTTCCGGATGATCTCACCTACAACAACCAGGCCCAGGCCCAAATCACTTAGCCACCAGTGCTCCTTTGAGGAAGGGAAGAAGTGTGCTTCAAGAAGGTACTCAATGAAGCAGAATGTCATGGCAAATACATAGTTTTTGCTGATCAAAAGTGACTTGAGAGTCACACTAGATCTCCCATGAATAGCAACCGCAAGAATATATTCAAAAATATGGAAAAACATTATAGCAATAAACATCTGCAATAATTGTCTGCATGCGGTATAGCCGAATATTTCTGCCATTCTAGGGTAAGTCAAGCCAACTGCTACTTTGAGGAACTTGAATCCAATCCTCTAAGAACGGGGGTTCAGATAAGTTAAATTTCAAACCAAAACTCGGACTTGAATATGTTACTGAGCGCTTAAAACTAGTAGCATAAACTTCACCTCATAATCAATGGCATATTCTGCAACATAAAGCAAATCAAATCTTATTACACAAATTGTATGTTCGTACCGAATTGAAATATAAAAACATACTCCCTACGTATTTTACAACTTTGTCCTCTTTTCCTTTTAGTTGTTCAAAAAACTTTATCAATTTCTCTTTTAATTGATTAATTTGTGATGCCTATTATTTCTCAAACTTCTGCACAAACCACGTAGTTTTTACTTTATCAACCACAAGAATTTACTTTATTATTCCTCATGCCAGTCAAACTTGGTAAAATTAAGGGATGAAGGGAGTACTATAAAGTTTAAATAGTCAAGGGGGTCGGCAATTAACAAAAAGATATCCCTGATGTCCATAAATATATTCACTTTTTTTCATCCAAAATGATTTTCAATTTTAAATAAATAAATAAAGGTAGCTTGGTGCACGAAACTAAGTAGCACGGAAACGGGAAACGGGAAACGCGAAACGGGAAACTCGAGAAATGTGATTTCTAGAAAACATAGGATACGAAACGTGGGGGAAACACGTAAATATTAAAAAATATAAGGATATATTTGTAAATATTTTTTCATATGTATACAGATTTTTTATTGATATATATGCTCATGACATTTTCATATAACTTGCTTAATAGCCCTATAATAAAAGCATTCTACATGTTCAAATTTAGAAATTATTACATATTATTGCATAATTAAACATAGCATGCAATTCATTCGTAGCAATTGCATTATGAAATGCCACAATGTTGCTACGAAGATATAACACAAAAAATCACTATTTTTTAAGACACTATTTTCCATAATAGGACCTCTTAAAAAAGAAAAAAATTGAAAATTCACGGTTTCTGAAATGCTAATAATTTAGGGAAACGGGTTCCCCAATTCTTCTTAATTACGGAAACGGCCCCTAAACGGGAATTTGAAGTTTCTGAGTTTCCGACACGCTTTCGAGTTTCGGAAATGGGGAAACGTGAGCTGCGGAGAGTTTCCGTGCTTCATAGGCACGAAAGCATCAAGAATGTTTGACAAGAGGCCGATCCTATAAATATATTTCAAACAAATAAAAAATACGTATTTTTATTTCAAATATATATAATTGGAATAAATAAATAAATAAATAGATTTAACTGCAAAACAAATTGGCAAAAAATACAAATAAAAAACAGCCGAATCAGTATGTAATAGATAAAAATTTATAAATAAAAAATTTTAGGGCTAATAAATGATCTTTACAGTAGTGCTTCAAATCAGGAATCTTGGTCTTTTAAAGTTTACTGAGTGATAAAAACATATACTGTGACACAAGTGGAAAAGGTAAAATGACAAATTGAAAAGGATGGGGTAGCAAATAGTGTTGAAAAGGTGTAAAACTTTGCCAACTTTCTTTTTGTGGTTGTTCCACTAACTTTGTCATTTTTCCATTTAAGTAAAGAATTTGTGGTTCCAGCTAATTCTCTCTTCTCTGCACAAACCTCAACCACAAAGTTTTTACTTTATTAATTCTCGTGTTGGTCAAACATGGTATTTTAAGGGATGGAGGGAGAAAGCTAAAAGAATGACAATGTATGAAATCGAAAATGAGAAACTAGAAAAGGTAAGATGACCGTGACAGATAGGAACATAGCAAGGACGGAAGCTAAAAGAATGACAATGTATGAAATCGAAAATGAGAAAGTAGAAAAGGTAAGATGACCGTGACAGATAGGAACATAGCAAGGACGGAAGCTTAGAGGGCATGTTACAAACAACAACTCATTACCCAGTGTCACAAAGACTCTCACATACGGTGGGGTACGGGGTCAAATGTACGCAGCCTTACCCCGGTACTAAAGCACAGAGAAACTGTTTCTGAATGACTCAAGATGAAAATTGCATCACAAATTGCATGGACTGACTGCTGCTTCATAACAAGCAAAGAAGTGCAGACATTTTAGTGAGCCATTTTGCTTAATTTCCTCGTATTCTCAAGTAAAAGAATAGTGAGTCTTTGGCAATGCATACAAGTAAACGACTTATTTATTCAGTTTTCCCGAGTCCTGTTCAATTTCCATGGCATAAGAAACAAATTCCTCTTGAATAGATAAATATTGGGATTGTGTCATTTAACTCCTCCATGTTTTCTAAACTTGGTACACTTAAAAATGAATTCAATGTTATATTTGCCTTTTTTGGAGTAAATCGTGTAGTAACTAGTAATACCTACATCAATTGACAAAAACTAATGAACTAATCAACATATTATTTTCAATCACACCATTCATATTAATATGTTATTACAACAAACACATCCAAGCCTATTCCCAAAATAAGGGTTAAGAAAATTATAGCCCCCAATTTTCAATTTATAAATGAAATCACACAACTAATAATTCACCTATAACATATTCAATAATGAATAAATAATCCCAGAAATTATTAAAATAACTAAACTAAGATAATAAAATTTAGAACACATACCTGACTCCCTAAGAGTCAGAGAGAGAAAGTCAGCGAAAACCAAGATTGAGGTTGCCGATTGGGGCACTGGACGACTGGCAGTGGAGCATGGAAATGGGACGTGGTCGACGCCGCCGACGCCCGACGCGTTCAGCAGCTCAGCTGGGCGAGTAGGCAGTCTGTCAGGCAGACGCAGGCGGCAGACAACCGGGACAGGCAGACAGCGGTTGGGTCGACAAGGAGAGTGATGGCCTCTGGCCAGGGGCGGTTTGAGCCTTTTCGAGGCCCTACACATAAAATTCTTAATATGCAGCCCCGATCTGCAGAACAAATATGTAGAGGGAGAAGTGGAGCAACTGATCCAAGTAGCTTTGCTTTGTACACAAAGCAGCCCGATGGATCGGGCCAAGATGTCAGAAGTGGTGAGGATGCTGGAAGGAGATGGGTTGACTGAGAAATGGGATGCATGGCTGAAGGGGGAAGTTCTTCGTCAGGAGGTCGAACTAACTCCTCATCCTACTTCTGATTGGATTGTTGATTCCACAGAAAATTTACATGCAGTTGAGTTGTCTGGTCCTAGGTGACAACTTCTGGTTAATATGGAATTTTTCTAGGCCTCTTTCCCCCTAGGCTGCATATTGTGATAGTAAAATTTTTCTAGTAGCTGTCTATTCCCATAGCTTTCATATTTTTACTGCTTATAGGCTTATACTCCTTAATCCTTATAGCATACATTATGTTGTGGGAATTTGGCATAGGTTGGGATTATTTATAGTTTGTAAGCTTTCAAGTCTTGATTCTTGATGGTGTTCATACCAGACTTCCTCCTATCAGGCTATCAGCTAATTACTAATGGTTTGAGAAAAATTGAATACAAAAAGCATATGAAAAACAAAACGTATCCAAATTGCATCATACAATATGATTGCGCCTTATAATGTGAACATCCATAGGATAAATTGATAATATAAATTTAGAAACAAATCAATCAACAAAATACTCAAATTGAGAAATACAATTATAAGTGAAAATGAAAAAAAAACATAAAGAATACACTGCTACAATCAAACTATAATTATTTATAGTAATACTGACCCAATACGTTATAAATTATAATCATTTAATTCTAAGTTTATCTTGAAACCTTTAATTATATTTAATATATTTAGGAATTTACCTCAAATCCTAGAAACCTAAAAATCCTCACTCCAGAGGATCTAGACTTCCAGGTATATAACATTCCTTCGTAGAGGTGATTTCTGCTTTATCATTTTTACACAATAACAGAAAAGGAGAAGAACTAGACTCGGACACTCACGTCTGCATCGGCACTTCGGTGCTCAGTGGTCGATGTTGTCGCGCCGGTTGGTATCCATGGAAGTCAGTGGCGGAACTAGAAAATTTTTTAAGCTGGGGCACGATTAATGGGAAAACTTACTGGACAAGCGGATGGCGCCACGGTGGGTCGGCACGGCAGCGCCACGGTGGGTCGGCACGGGCAGCGCCAAGGCGGGAGGGCACGGGCGCACGGCGGTCGGCGAGCCGGCTCTGGGATGCCTGGCGGCTGGCGGTCCGGTGTAGCGGCGTGCTGGCGTGGCTCTGCTGTAGCGGCGTGCTGGCGTGGCTCTGCTGTAGCGGCGTTTGACGTTTAAAGTCTGGGTGAAGGGGAAGGGCTTCAGACCTTGTTGGGCGCTGGATCTTGGCTTGGTCTGTCTACATTGTTTGGGTTGTTGGGCTGCCTTGGCCCGTTCGGCCCTGAACAGTTTTTTTACTCTTCTAAATGACATCGTTCTACACTTCTACTTAAAAACAATCAGCCTTGCCGAGTTACCCGATCGATCATCTCTGTCCTCCAGCCAGAAGCTACACCTTCAGGCTTCAGCCCACCGGAAATTATGGAACGGACCAGTCCGGTGTCCCACAACCCCTTCCTATACAATAGTTCATACGGTGGAAGTAGGGGCACCGGCCCCCTGACAGATCCGCCCCTGATGGAAGTCATCGATAAGAGAAGATGATTAGGACTTCTGATGAGATGCGAAATTAGGACTTGCGGCAATTGCAGATTGATTACCGATTTGCCTCTGGTCCTCTGGCTTCTCCGTTCGGCCATTCTTCGTTCGATGCGACTTGCGGACTTGGAAGAAGACCGATACAGCGATAAGATTTCTCCGGATTGGGATTTCGGTCTTCGGGTATCATCAAACACACACTGGGATTTTTTTGAACATACGTAGATTATGTTTGGACATAGCCCAAACTGAAATTTTGTTTATGGAAAATTTCATGTACACTCACTCGTTTACTAATCACACACTTATTTTCGTAAAAAATTATTTTTCTATAATTCCTATAATGCCCTCAGTGTTAATCACATATCACTAAGGAAAAAGTGAGCAGAGATATGATTTTCATCTCATTTGTTTATCTATCTAGCAAGTCGAAACTATTGGAGTTTTATATGTGTGACAATCAAGATGAGCTATGATGAGGATTATCAGCACCGATAGAACAATAGCTCCGACAATCAAGCACGCCTTCGTCCCCACCGCGGCAGATTTAATTCAGACAGCGTCATGGAAAGTGACGCCATGTTCATTGCATTTGTATCTTGTTTTGATTTCATTACACAAATTGAATCTCAAGTTATTTAATTGCTAGATTTTTTTTAATTGCTAGAATATATCTACACCATTTGATTTAAATTACAAATAGAAATTGTTGGGGTAATTGGCCCGATACAGGATCAACTCAATACCCCATTAGGAAGAAGGGATCAAGAGTAACAGCGTGCATGCATTTCTGCTATGCACTCATTTGGTAGAAGTTTGAAATCTTCAAACTTCTTCAGTGCAATTGTCAGTTTGTTGTCCTTTTCTTGCTCATCTTCAGCACCAATGAAAATAAGTGCATCACATATTTCTTTGGCAGTGGTGCACTTTTTTATTCTTGTGAAGTAACGGACATCAATAGCTTTGTAAAGTATATCCTTGGCAATATTGTCAAGGTTATACTTCCTTCTTTCTTCAGCAGACCATTCTGATCGTGGTTTGCTGATCATATGTGGTTCTGTTCCACCAACAACGTAGGTTGAATTTGTCTTCATGAACTCAACAAATGGTCCAATTGATAGTACTTCCCACATTTCATCATGTAGGGCACAAAGATGTGCTTTCATATGTATTCTCCAGTCATCAAACTTCAAAGTTGAAAACATAAGGTTTTTGGAAAGTGTGTTATCCATGATAAAGATAAGGAGAGTATCAAAAGAAGTAAACAAATGGATCTTTGTTCACAAGGTAACCTAAAAGATTACAAGAACAAGAGGCTCTGATACCACTTGTTGGTCCCGGTTAAACAAAGAAACAATCTAGAGGGGTGAATAGACTATTCTGATTTTTCGAGTTCTTGCGAGACAACGCTTATCTCACAGAGGTTGGTCTTGTTTGTCACTGAACAGACGTGCAGCGGATGGTAGTTCTGGTCGGGTTGCCTCACACGAAAAACACACTATGGCAGAAATGCCTTTTCTATTTTCTCTAAGAGCAAGATCTGCTGAACACAAAGTCCAAGCTCTTTTAGAGGCGAACAATAGAGAACCTATAAGCAACACATAAAGGCAGTAAGTAAGTGACACCAGAGATTTTTATAGTGGTTCAATGAACAACTCATTCCTCTAGTCCACTGTTCCACTAAACTTATAAAAACTCATTACAACACTTAGATCCTACCACTTTGGAAGCACTCCAAGTCTTCTTCAAATCTAGTCTTTTATCACTCGGGATGCACTTCCTTGCTTCCCGATGACTGACTTTTTCACTGAGCTTCTTTGAAGTATCACCACTTCACTCTGGTTACTTTGGCGTCCTTCTTTAACAAGAAGATTGCTTTGAAAGGTTTCAAAGGGTTTTCTCCAACGTTCTTTGTACAAGATGTGTAGACGAAGGTTTCAAAGTTGTTGAAGAACTAGGACGAACTTTCTTTGAGAGTTGGATGAAGGATATCAAGATTTATCTTCCAATCCGTCTTGCAAAAGGGGCGGGTCCGCCCCGCCCCGTCTATACAATGGGGCGGGTCTGGGTATTAGTATTGACCCGTGCCGCCCCGACCCGTTCAATACATAAGCATATACATACATTTTCTTAAATTATACTACAAATATACTTCAACTTACATATATGTGTATACAATAAATCATAAATTCTTTGATCTTATAATATATCAATATATATATGTGTGTGTGTGTGTGTGTATGTGTGTGTGTTTTGGTTCAAATAAGAACATGATCTTATGAGAAAAATGAGAATGAATCTGGACCGTTAGATTTGCTTTATGTGAAATTCAATGTGCATTAGATGAAGCTGTAATGTGTATTAGGTGAAATTGAAATGTGCAGCACAAATGGTACAATGTAGTGGCATTATGTGAAGCTAAATTGTGCATTAGGTGAATTTGAAGTGTGCACCAGATGAAACTAAAATGTGCAGAATAAAAGGTACGATATGCTGTTATTTTTGTACCTTTTATTCTGCACATTTCAGTTTCACCTAATGCACATGTGAGTTTAAATTTTAATTCTGCACATTTCAATATCATCTAATGCACATTTCGGTTTCACCAAATGCACAATTCAGTTCAACATAATTCAATCCAACGGTCCATATTCGTTCTCATTTTTCTCCTAAGATTCGTTCTTACCGGAACCGCTCCCTATATATATATATATATATATATATATATATATATATATATATATATATATATATATATATATATATATATATATATATATATATATATATAGGGAGTGGTTCCGGTGAGAAAGGACTCCTAGGAGAGAAATGAGAATGAATTTGGACCGTTGAATTGTATTATGTGAAATTGAATTGTGCATTTGGTAAAATAGAAATGTGCATTACGTGAAATTGAAATGTGCAGAATGAAAAGTAAAACTCAAATTTGCATTACGTGAGATTGATGTGTAGAATAAAAGACACAAAAATGCCACCACATTATAGTTTTTATTCTCCACATTTCAGTTTCAGTTAGTGCACATTTCAGTTTCGCATAATGCACAATTCAACTACACATAATATCACTTTGTCTTACCTTTTATGTTGCACACTTCGATTTCACCTGCTAATGCACGTTTCAGTTTCACTTAATGCACATTCAATTTCACATAATACAATCTAACGGTCGAAATTCATTCATGTATTAATTAATATAATTAAATAGATTAACTATTCAAGTCTAAGTAATTTTTCCTTAACTTTTGAAATTTCTAGCGTATCGTAAATTTGATTTAATATATTAATTTTTAATAATTATTTAAAGATCAACTTTATGTAGATTCCATCGGTAACAACTTCTCACAAATAAAAATACATACTACGTATGTTCTAGCTAATTAGGTTACGGCGGGGCAGACCCGCCCCGCATGGGACAGGTCATGGGTCAACAAGTTTGGACCTGTGCAGGTCACGGGGCAGGGCGGCCCCGCCCCGTGACTTGACGGTGTGGGTATGGGTCTTGCAGTACCCGCCCCGCCCCGACCCATTGCCATGCTACTAGTGTGGTTCATTCTCTTCTTCTAGATCTAGGCAATATAGATCATCAAATTGGGGGACTTATTATCTTCAAGAAAGTAAAGATGAGCTTGCACTCTTTCCTCGACGACCGAGATCATTCCTTCCGAGCACGAGCTCAGTCCCGTCGAGCTCGAGGTCATTCCTTGTCGAGCCTGGGGTCATTCCTGCCGAGCCCGAGGTCATCCCTTTCGAGCCCGAGCACACTCCTGTGGACGCTGAGCTCACTCCCACTGAGCCCTGAGCTCACTCCTGCGAGCCCGAGCTCATACCGGACGATGTCAAGCTCATACCAAACGATTTCGAGACTGTTCCAGATGAGCTTGGATCATGACACACTTGGCATCAGACAAGACCGGTCTCAGTCATCCTCCTCATGGATGGCGACCGTTGCTCATTTGAAGACCGATCTAGGTCATCCTCCTCTGATCGCCTCTCAGCTCTGCAGAATATGCACTTTCCCCCTACACCCGCTTCGAGGGCGGTGCACTCTTTGTCCTCGGCTAGGAATTTTTTCCCACATGTTTTTTTTCCTAGTGGAGGTTTTTTAATGAGGCATCACCTCATCGCGGGCAAGGGCAGAGAGGTTTTCCGCACCGAGCAAGGCATCACGAGCGACAACGGTGGTTCAAAGAGCATTTTGGACTACTCCCTTTCACCTTGAAGTCTTCTCGCCTTAGGGAGTGGGGGACTCATGATGGATATATATTATCCAGGACCGGGGGTACCCGAGATGATGTATTTTCTTGTATTGGGCCTAGCCCATTCTTTGTATCGGCCCAACGGTGCTTTATGCGCCCGAGGGTCCCGTTTATATTTGATGTATTCTTTGTATTGAGCTTGTCCCGTTGTTCATAGGTTAGCCCGTTTTTCTCCTATAAATAGGCTCTATGCCTATCTTGTGGGGGGGGGGGGGGGGGGTGAATTCATTTTATGCTAGACTCTTCTTCTCTCTAATGTGGTTCATTCTCTCCTTCTTCTTCTTCTAGATCTAGGCAATATAGATCATCAATTGTGATAAAAACATTTCAATTAACATATTTTTGTTTCTT